GACAACTAAACATATATAGAAAAAATTAGCCAGGCATAGTGGCGCATGCCTGTAGTCCCAGCTACTTGGGAGGCTGAGGCAGAAGCATTGTTTGAGCCCAGGAGTTTGAAGCTGCTGTGAGCTAGGATGACGCCACAGCACTCTATCCCGGGCAACACAGTGAGACTCTGTCTCAAACAAACAAAAAAAAGGTTCTCACTTTTTCCAGGATTATCTTGTTTTTTTTTTTTTTGAATGTTTAAGGGAGTTTTTCACAGGGAATAATGGGTGGAGTCATAGATTTGATAGTCTCCAACCCAATCCAAGCTGGCTCTTGCAGGTTAATAACTGAGGTTTGTTAGAATGGGGACTAATGTTACCAAATGTAGTAAATGCCTTCTGCCAATGGAAACTATCCAACATTTTTCTATTAGTTGATTAACTAATTATTTGCTTTCTCCTATTATCATCTACTGGTGTTTTTTGGGGAGTTTTGTTTTGTTTTGTTTTGCTTTTCAGAGAGAGTCTCATTCTGTTGCCTAGGCTGGAGTGCAGAGCACAATCATAGGTCACTGCAGCCTCGAACTCCTGGGCTCAAGTGATCCTCCTGCCTCAGCCTCCCCAGTAGCTGGGACTACAGGCACACGCCAGCAGGCCCAGCTTTTTTTTTTTTTTTTTCCTTTAGTAGAGACAGCATCTCTCTTTGTTGTACAGGCTGGTCTTGAACTTCTGGCCTCAAGCAATCCTCTCGCCTTGGCTTCCCAAAGTGCTGGGATTATAAGCATAAACTACCATGCCTGGCCTAGTGTTACTATTTTTTCAATTTTTAATTTTTAATTATTATGGGTACATAATAGTTGTATATCTTTATAGGGTACATGTGATGTTTTGATACAGGCATACAAAGTGAATTAATCAAATCAGAGTAATTAATCAAATCAGGGTTTCCATCACTTCAGGCATTTAACATTTCTCTGTGTTAGGAACATTCTAATTCTACTCTTTAAGTTATTTTAAAGTATACCCTAACACTTTGTTCTGCTATCAAACATTGTTCATTCTGTCTAACTATCTAACTATATTTTTACACCCATTAACTATCCCCACTTTATCTCCCCACCCCGGCTACCATTCCCAGCCTCTGGTAACCATCATTCTACTCTCTGTCTCCATGAGATCAACTGTTTTTATTTTTTATTTTATTTCATGCCCTTGTGTGAGCCCTTCTCTCCTCTCATGTGTGGGCAGGGTCTGTAACTTGCTTCTAAGCAACAGTATATGCGCCGGTGATGGGAGATACGTGATTACCTTACAGAAGATTGTAAGGCCCATCTTGCTGGAGTCTCTCTCCCTTGCTGGCTGTGAGTGAGCAAGTGGCCATGATGGAGAACTCCACATGGAACTGCAAGCACCATCTAGTCACTAAGATCTGGGCCCCAGCTGACAGCTGGGGGTGGGGAAAGAAGCTCTTAGCCAACAATCAAAAGGAACTGAATGCTGCTAACAACCAGGCAAGAAGGGAAGCAGATCCTTCTCCAGTAGAGCTTCTAGATGAAAACCCAGCCCTGGCCCACACCTTGATTGAAGCCTTATAAGACTCTAAGCAAGTGGCCCAATGAAGCTGTACTTACTTAGATTCCTGATGCATAAAAACTATAAGATAATAAATGTGTATTGTTTTTAGTCACTAAGTTTGTGGTAATGTGACAATGGAAAACTAACATACCACCAGAACTGGTCTGAAATATGTTCAGTCTCTGACAACTCACCTCAGGACCCCCTTTTGCAAACCAAATAATGAAGATCTGCTCCCTCACTTCTCAAAGTCAGTCATTCAAGGACAGATTCATCCCAATAATCACCCCTCTAAGTGCCAATCAATCAACAATAGCCTCACTCAAGTAACCACAGTTCTACAGATAATATCGACTTGCTTACATCCATCAATCTCTGAACTCCACACTTTCCCAAAACCCTATTACGATAAGCAGTCTACTCTGCTTGGAGAGACACCTGCTCTTCCATAGTATAGTAAATAATAAATTCAGTTTTGTCTCTTATTTCAAATATTGAGTTGTAGTTTCATCATCCTTTGACAGTTCTGAAGGTTCCACTAAGATCATTTTGAAGACAGCATTTCAGGAAC